TGTAGTAACGTATCGCCTCAGCCATGTTCGGAGGGAAACCAAGGGACTTCGAGGTCCAGAAATCCGGCCGGATTCGACTTCTGGGATTGTTTTGTATGACTTGTGGCGCTGTTCACTGCGTAGAAGTGACAGTATACGCGTCGTTACACCAACGGCCACTACTACGAGCCAGAAGTAGTACATGTACCAGCTATGGGTATTATATTAGCGAAGTCGCGCCTAACGGGGTACAGGCTCGACTTACCCATACACGAGATGGATCTCGTATTCCCAGAATGCCGCTTCCTGTACGCCACATTTAGCACCCCATAGTCTTATCGGCCGTACAGGCAGGAACGTACCATGGTGGTGAAAGCTCGCCTTACAAGCTCATCACTTGGTATCACAACTTCATCAATGGTTGGAAAACTCAGTGCCTCTTCAGCCGACAGTCGTGTCACTCTAGCCTTGTCGTCAGGGGTCCATTGGTCCAGAATATCGCGAAAGGAAGGTAATGTAATGTTCGCGTGTGCTTCACACCAGGGTTTCTGGTTCTCGATCCATTTTTCTGTCTGACCGTTCTGTATGCAGAACTCGTCGAAGCACAGATACAGTGATGTGAGGCGTAATTCACTTTGGCATCCTCGGATCTTGCTCGAAAGCGAAGGGTCGGTGTCGTTGAAGGTTACATAGTTGACGCCGGTCTCACATGCCAAAGGGCAGTACTTTCCCGAGTACAAAGCATGTGATGCACCTGTAAGCGTGTACAGAATGATGGAGATGGATGAAGTGCGCATGAGTGGACGCGATGAGGTACAAGATGGGGCGACGCAAGCTCGGAGTCGGAGATTGGCGGGGTCGTGAAATCTTATCAGATGTCTACGCACGGGCCCGCGCTGGCATCAGGCGCGCTTCTTTCGCGTCAGCTGGGTTGTTGCTTCGAGCTTGCAAATGGCCAGTGTCTGTGAGCACAAAGTTTACGCAGCGGCCATACTCGCTGTCTTAACCCCCTGTGGCACCACGTCATGTCTCACACCGCCTCAAAGGCGACCTTTCTCTCTTTACCTATCGAGCTCCGCCTAGAGATTGTCGCATACGCGCTGGAACAATCTGACGCGGGACTCACGAAACACCACGAGTCCAATGAGGGACGAACTTGTTCTACGATAGATGAGAGGTACAAAGCTAGTACCAACCTTGCGATACGGCTGGTTTGCCGCCAGTTCAACGCTGAGTTCCGTCGCCTTGCCATCCACAGTACCCTCTTTGTGCTCGCCAGGAACTCCACACGAGTTGCCGGTCAGCAAGTCGAAGAGCTTCTACAAGATGTAAAGAAGTTGAGGATTCACTGCGACCATGAGACCATCGGGAAATGGTACGAGCACCCGTTGAACAGGCAATGTATGCATCTCGATGAGCTACAGTTTGTAATGCCACTCGACGACTCTGCCAACCGGACAGCCCTCGTGGGTCTGCTCAGACGTCTGCGCAACGTCAAACAAGTCAAGCTCCTCTTCCCGAACCATCGTGTTGCAAAAGAGCCCTATGGGTACATCAGATTACTCGGCGAGTTGCTCAAAGAAGACCATTTCCAGAGATACGATGCCCCGAACGCCCCCAATTTCGAGTCTACATGTTGGGAGTGGAGTTTTGACAAAGAGTCTAGTTGGGCTGTCTTCGTGGCTCGGGAACCTATGGCGCTTATCCCGGAAGAGCATTACTTGCTGCTCATGAAGCCGAAGATCGACTACATTATGGATTACATGGCATCATAGCACCAACACGGTAGTAGTCACTGTGCGACACAGCACGTTCGCGTCGTTATGTGATGACGAAGGGGAACTGCATGGATCCATAGAGTATGCTATCATATAAACGGATTGCAACAACGATTGACGAGTCAAAGATAGTGCGGGTGCCATGATTCGGCCCAAGGCTTTGACGCGTCTTCACGTGGTCTCCAACACAGCTGCATCCCCGAGTGCTGCGTAAGACTAGAACATCAGCATGGCTTAGCGGCATGGTATTATAAATGTCGCTGTGCGGAAAGAGGCCACAGTCGCTTACTGGCATTTGAGTGTGGCAGCTTAGCAATCACGCTGCTTCGGAGGCCCAGGAGATCCGACGCGGCCCCCACTTGCCCAACGATGCACTTGACGCACTGCATCGCGCCTGCCTCACCCCCAAGCGCGACTGCTATAACACCAGCCATGCCACGCCCTTCCAGACGCCGTCTATCCCCCATATCAATTCACCGTCCACCATGAGCGCTCCGAAGCCAATCCTCATTTCCGGCGCCGGCCTCGCCTCGCTCCTACTCGCCCGCTCGCTGCACCGTCACAAGATCCCGTTCCTCGTCTTCGAACGCGACGCGTCCATCGTCTTCAGAGCCCAGGGCTATAGGTTGAGACTCTCGGCGCAGGGTCTGGACGCCATTGAGCAAGTGCTCGGTCCGGCAGGATTCAAGGCGTTCTACGACGCTTGCGGCAAAACTGGCGGGGCTGGATTCGCGGCGGTGAACCCGCTGACAGGCGAGACAATAGGTGGAGATGCTCCGAGCGTCAAGAGCGAGCCTTTGACCAGCAGAGACGGCAAGGTCGTTGGAGTGTCGCGCGGTGATATGCGCAAGCTGTTCATGGACGGCATCGAGGACCGTGTGGTTTGGAAACATCAGGTCGCAGCCTACGAGAGGACGGACAATGGTGTGCGACTAGTCTTCGCCGACGGTACCAAGTCCGAGGAGGGCTCTATGCTGATCGGGGGTGAGGGTGTCAAGAGTGCAGTCGCTGGTCAGCTGTCCAATGGGGCGATCAAAGTCTACGATCTCGGTTCCAGAGGAATACATGGACAAGCCCCGACAGCAGCCTTCAAGGCCTTGGGCGAAGGTGTCTTCCGCCTCGTCGACGATACATCACAGCCGAACGGTGGCAAGGTCTTCGTCATCACAAATGTACGCGCAGGCGACATGGACAAGCCCGACGTCAACTTCGGCTGGACCATGATCGGCTCTCCAGGCGTCATCAAAGCGCCGAACGACAATTACACGATTACTGGGCCGCCTGCCGCACAGATAGCAAAGGCACTTACATCGCACTGGCATGATCGTGTCAAGCCACTCTTCGATAACATGGCCGAGTCGGAAGCAGCTTTCTGGAAGATAACATGTTCGTCACCAGAAGGTGTACCGAAGTGGCCCAATGACCCTCGTGTCACTCTGGTCGGTGATGCAGTGCATGCTATGACGCCAGCAGGAGGTAACGGCGCAAACACGGCTGTGCGCGACTCGGCTCTGCTCGGTCGATTGATAGCCGAAGCCTGGGAGAGAGGCGATGGCGATAGATGGACGGGTGTCACAGAAGCATATGAAAAAGAGATGCGAATATACGCAACAGAGGCTGTCAAGGCTAGTTATGGGCAGGCTACAGGGCAATTCGGCATTGATCTTGATCTCAACACTGCGCCTACAATTAACGAATATGTCGCGCCAAACTGAGTATTCTTCGTTGCAGCAGACTGGTCATCAGTCCGAACAGGATTTAGCGTCACTTTCCTATGAGACGGCATTAGGTCGTGTTGACGAATGATACGCATCATCTTCATCCTTACTTTTACGTGCGACTCACGGTCACTAACGATACAGGGTGTTCTGGCTGGACAATTGCAAGCCCCCAAGTCTGCCGCGGGACGAATGTCGCGTCCTCCGTTGCCGATTGTAGATTCCGCCGCAGAGCCACGACTCATGTGTAGCTTCCCCGCATCTCCACAGGCCCACCCCCGACTTCAAAAAACCGGGCCATCCAGTACGTGCGAAATTCCCGATAACAATGGATTCGCCGCGACCACGCAAACGCCGTGCCATCAATGCATGCGTCAGTTGCCGAACGTCCAAAGTACGATGCGACGGAAACCGCCCTTGCCAACGATGTGACCGGAATGGCGCAACTTGCCAATACTTTGACGCCGTAAAGGACGAAAATGTGTTGCGAATCGAAAGGCTCGAGAATGAGATGGCTGCACTTCGTGAACACATGCGCATCCAGCGACATCAAGACAAGAGTGTACGTAGGCCTGAAGACTACACTAGGATAAAGGAGGCAAATCAGAACATCTGGCGCCAATGTAGCTCCAGGGTGTTCTGTTTCCTCCTTATTTGAGGTGGTGTCCTGCGCGAATCAGCGGAAAGCTAGCTGACCATGATAATGAATGCAGTTACCCATGGAGGATGCGACTGGGACAGTGCCAGAAGTCGCACTCCGGTCTATGCCCAAGTGCAACGCAACGGCCGTTGACGCAGGTCTCATCACATGGGAACAGGCTGTCCACTGGTATCAAAGGTAGACAAACTCACTGCACCTCTCGAGCCCAGATCACTGATTTTACAAAGTTTCTTCTCGGGCAGTGTATGAAAGCCCCGATTCACCTGGTGAACCATACTAAAAGCCATAGCAATACCTCGTGCCCATCTTTTGCGAGAGGCATGACAACATCGCATCAGTGGCTTCACGTAGCCCAATTCTTTTTGACGCCATAGTCAGTATTGGATGTCGCGCCGCCGAAGGTTTCAACACCAGGATCTATCGTCAGTAACATTCCCGCATGGACTGAATGTGAGACGAATGCTGACATTATACACCCATTTCTAGGCCGCCTCCAGACTCGAGTCCGTGATCAATTTACCGACTTATTCATCAACACAGATACCCCTACAGTAGAGGATATACAGGCCATCGCACTGGTGGCTGCGTACTCGGAGAACGCGTTCGTTCTGGTGGCCATGGCCCTTCGCTTCGCCATTCAGCTTGGGCTACCTCATGTTGTCGATCAGCTCATCGCCAAAAGCCACCCACGGTCCGGGATCGTGACCGCCGACGAGCAAGAGCTTTACCGTCTATCTAGAGTTTGGCTTGGGATCTGCAATCTTGAACTCTTGTGAGTATCATGTCAACCTGATTGGAGAGCGCTGCTAAAAACATCCAAGTTTCTCTCTAGATGGCGGTAAACTGCCGGGCCTTTCTCTTCAAATGTCCTCTCGAAAGATCAGATGTCTATTAGCTCACCCAGAACGTACATCTACGGACATTCGCCTTCTCTCGCAAGTGGAGCTCAACATCATCCGCACGGAAGCCTATACAAAGATCATGGGCCGGAATAATGACTTTATGGGTCAACACAGCGAAGATCAACTCCGGAATACGGTAGATGAGGCTTGTGTTGAGCTGTCACTGTGGCTCGATGAATGGACCAACATTGCTCTGACCGAACCAGCGCCACATCAACGGACTCTTGCGTTGCAGAACTTGTGTATTCAGCAAGCCTGGGCTACCATGACTATGTACTTGAAGGCGGTAGGCTCTTCAGGGGTCGAGAACATTGCGATCATGACCGACTTTCAGCGCGACTTTATACGCAAAGCCAAGGAGGCAGCGAATCGACACCTCCACTACATGCTTCAGTCATCGTCAACACCAACTTCATCGCCGGTGTCTCACGCCTCGACCTCTGGATCAACGTACCTCAGTACCTTTCGCTGGACACTCGATTATGTCTGGGCCAAGTGCGCCGTCTCAGTCTTGCTGGTCCTCAAGTTAGCGATTCTCCTCCGCGACCCGGTACCTTCGGTCATGGCGCTGCTCAGCGATGCGCATCGCGTACTGGAAGAGCTAAAGACTGTTACCGTGGGCCACATCGCATACTTTCAGATCTTGCAAACCAGCATCGAGAAGTGTGAAGCTGCTCTTCGAGAGTATGCTGCGGAACAAATACCCGACCAGGACTCTTCGATGGCGGGAGCGAGAAGCAGTGTAGCTGAAGACGAGTTCCAGGGCTACGTTCCCAGCGAGTTCGTCTTCGAGTGGGGTAAGTTTGGACTGCAGACACGCTTGTGAAATCTATACTGACTTCGTATGTCCACCTCTGCAGACTTTCCTGGGCTCAATCTAAAACATATGCCGCTCGGATGGCAAGACCTCTTTGTCAATATCGACAGCTTGTTCTAAACCAAAGGCATGCTTGGAAGGCAGGCGGCTATACAAGAGCCGTGCATGTTGCGTGGATCCGACGGTCAAGCATATCCTGGGAGTATCAACAGTGTTTACATGCACATGTCAATGGAGCAAATGTTGTATGTAAGTTCAGTGTATATTGTAACTAAGCTACAACTATCGGAAGTCATGTTTCAAGCGTCAACCCGTTGATCAATATACATAGATGAAGTCCTCGTTCTTGATGTCAGTCACATCATCGAACGCCTTGTCGCCCACACCGCTGGCTTGTGCGTTCTCAGCTTCCTCTGCATCACCCTCGCGCGCAGAACCCATGCTGGTATCAACGACAATGGCCGACTTCCCCATGCTCTCTCTTGTTGCCGCATGCTTCCGGTTCAGAAGCTTGATCCAGAACATTGCAAGCAGGATCAGGACGACGATCGCGATGAAGAGAGCGAGGTTGGCGCGGAGGCCTCGGTAGTAGTGTGGTTTTTCTGACGGTTTGAAGAGCTGTGGGCCGATGATGTTGCCGGCGCTGGCGCCGACGAAGAGGATACTTGTCGTTACTTTACGCTTCGTGTCGCCTCCTGTATTTTGGCCTGACCAGCTATAGATTAAAGGTGAAATGCCGGGATAGAAAGACGTCAGCTGGAAGCACAGGGTTAGTAGGTTACATGTTTTGCGTTGCCACTACTTACGTAGTATCCGAGAAGAAGTACACCGCGATTCGAGTCGCCGCGGCCAACGACCATGAGGATGACGATGCCGGCGATTGGTGGTATACATAAGAGTATCAGCACGGGCGACTTCCGTTTCAGCCACGTGGCTAGCCAAGCTCCACCGCAGGTAGCTATAATCTGGATGACGCCGAAAGGCATGTTGAAGAGGATCGTAGCGAAGGGCCCAAACCCAAAACCTGAAATTCGAGCAATCAGCGGAGTTCAGACTTGCAGCTTGCAGGAACGTTGGACTTACTCTGGATGATCAGAGGCCCGAAAGCACTGATACCACCACTCGGGATGCTGATCGCTGTCAACATGGAAAACCAAAGCCATGTCTTGGGATCCATGAATGCCTCCAGTACGTGGTCCCACTTCCAGACACGAGATGCAACGCCCATCTGGTTCATACGCAGACGTTCGACAGCGACGAGCTTTTCGTGATCGTTGAAGAACTTGGCCTAAAGATTGGGGCACGAAGTCAGTATATCTCTCACATCAATTAGTACAGGGAAACCACTTGCCTCCATGGGTGAATCGGGCATGAACAACCATACAAAGACCGAAACGACGACTGTGAGGAGACCACAAAAGAGAAAGATGATCTGGTATGAGTACAGAAGATTGGACTGGATGTGGCCCAACCCGTAGCAGAGCAGACTGCCGAGGATGTTGACCATGCCCAGCATGGCGTACCAAGCTGCGTTTCGGTTCGTTTGCTCGCCACGCTTATACCACATTTGAACAACGGCGATGAAAGCAGGAGCTAGATGCGTTAGCGATAGTCTTCGCGATGGCTTGAAGAGTCGGCTTACCAACGGCAGCTTCGAAAGCGCCCAACAAGAACCGCGTGGCCATCAGCCCGGCGAAGCTGCTGGCACCCGCCATTCCGCATAATATGCAGCCCCAGGTGAACACCATTACACCCATGAACTTCCCCATCCTGAGCTTGACCAGCAACACTGCCACCAACGGCTGTGCCACTAGCTGCGCAATGTACACGATACTCCCAAGCCATGAGTATTGTTGACTGTTGGGATCGAGGTTCGCATCTTCGATGAGGCCAAAGACGGAAGCGTAGGATAACGTGGTCTTGTCGAGTGATTGGAGGAAGTAGACGCTGAGTAGGATGGGCAAGATGACAAGGTCGATCTTCTTCAAGACGCGTTTGTTCTCGGCGGATGTTACGACGATGCGTTCGTTCGAGGCGAGAAGTGCGGCGGCTTTGTCTTTGCCTTTGCCGTCCGTCGCATTGGCTGGCTTGTAAAGCGACTCCGTGGTTTCGACGTTGGGCTTGGACGCGGCGACGTCGTCGGTCACCTCCGGTTTCGACATGTTCAACAGGAAGACTATGATCAACCCAGGAAGAGTCTGAGATAATGCTGCAGTAGTAGGTCAATATGGCCCGACTGCACTTATACGCATCCCCACGGGGACCCCAGACGCTGATCTTGTCTCTCTTCGGGCTAGGTCTCGTAGCTACGGCCGAAGAAACCGGCAGCCAAGGATGGATGCCTTTCGCCTCGTGACGAGGGTAGGCTCCTTCGGTTTTCTCCGATGGTACCTTCGGGCGAAGTTCAATGGCCTGCCTTGCTATAAGTACAGTATGATCCATGATGGTCATGATACTTGGCAAGAAGACAGGCATTGCCAACTGTTAAACCCGTTCTATATTCATCATGCCGATGCTTGAGCACGTCCCCAGCGGCTACCAAGCTGTTCCCGCAACGGCATCGTTTAATACGAGCGTTGAGTTGCAATCAAACTCGGGCTTTGTTTTCACGTTTGACGCTTTACGACCTGGAGTTTTCCGAACGACTTTCACGTCGCCCAAGCACTTGTTGCCGCCACACCGAGCCACACCAGTACCGAGCAAGACCCTGGACGACACGACTGCGGCACGGGTATCATCAAGCACCACCTCAAAAGCATTCGCCGTCGATGGAGTCACTGCCGATGTGGATTGGGAAGGCGGTGTACCCATAGTATCACTTACGCTTCCTGGCCAAAAGACACCCATTCATACCGATCTGCCCAATCGCTCCTATGTTGCTGATGGGCCTGGGGTTTCGCACTACACACGCTACAATAATGGGACTCTTCACCTTGGACTTGGCGAGAAGCCAGCACCCATGGATTTATCAAATCGTCACTTCGTTCTCTCCGCCACCGACTCTTTCGGCTACGATGTTTATCGTACAGACCCGCTATATAAGCACATTCCTCTCCTGGTCAATTGCACGCCAGATGGCTGTGTTGGTATCTTCTCAACGTCACACGCCCGCGGCTTCTACTCTGTAAGAGATACCGCTGTACACCTGCATCTGAAACGCATGCTGACCTCTCTTACCAGGTCGGCTCTGAGATGGATGGGATGTGGGGACGCTTCAAAGTATATCGTCAAGACTACGGCGGCCTCGAGGAGTACCTCCTGGTGGGAAAGACACTACCGGATATTGTGCGCATCTACGCTGACCTCGTTGGCTATCCACTTCTGGTGCCGCGGTGGGCATTCGGTTACCTGGCTGGTGGTATGAAGTATTCCATGACGGACGACCCACCTGCTAGTCAGAGCATGATGGAGTTTGCTGCCAAGCTTAAAGAACACGACATTCCCTGCTCCGGCATGCAAATGTCATCTGGCTATACGGTCGCAGAGACAGAACCGAAGACGCGCAACGTGTTTACGTGGAATAAGCATCGGTTTCCTGATCCGAAAGGCTGGATCGATGCTTATCACAAGGAAGGCATTCGGCTCATTGCAAACGTGAAGCCGTATGTATTGGGCAGCCATCCCGAGTATCAAAAGCTCAAAGACGCCGGCGCATTCTTTACGGATTCGTTGACACTCGCATCGGCTGAAGCGAGACTGTGGAGCGCGGGTGGAGGTGAGAGTGGAGTCGGTGGCCATATTGACTTCACTTCCAAGGCCGGGTACCAGTGGTGGTACGACGGCATCCGCGAGCTGAAGCGTGTCGGTATTGACTGTATTTGGAACGACAACAACGAATACACTGTTCCACACGACGGCTGGCAGTGCGCGCTAGATGAGCCAGCAGTTACCCAAGAGCCCAAGAGCGACGACTATGGCAACAGCATCGGATTCTGGGGTCGCGCACTCAACACCGAACTGATGGGGAAATCTTCGCACGATGCAGCCTTGGAGATGGAACCTGCGCAACGCCCTTTCATCTTGACCCGAAGCGCCACAGCAGGAACGCTTCGATACTGTGCAAGTGCCTGGAGCGGAGACAATGTCACCTCTTGGCCCGGCATGAAAGGCGCCAACGCTCTGTCCCTCACCGCGGGCGTGTGTCTAATGCAATGCTACGGCCACGACATAGGCGGTTTCGAAGGCCCACAGCCCAGTCCCGAGCTTCTCGTCCGCTGGTGCCAGCAAGGCATCTACAGTCCGCGCTTCGCCATCAACTGCTTCAAAACGGGCAAAGACAACCGCGTCGGCGATGTTATCGAGCCTTGGATGTATCCCGAGGTGACTAGCATAATCCGCGACACGATCAAGCGCCGCTACGAACTCATCCCCTATCTCTACTCGCTAGCGCTGCATTCTCACATGACCGCCACGCCACCGCAGCGTTGGACTGGATGGGAATATGAGAGCGATCCGGAGATTTGGACCAACAAGATTCTTACCGATGGCGAGACACAGTACTGGCTTGGTGATGCACTACTGGTCGGTGGTGTCTTCACTCCTGGTGCCGAGACTGCTAGCATGTACCTTCCCAAAGACGCTTCAGACCCTAATGCCGCGTTTCTAGACTTGAACAACAACCCACAAACGTATTACAGCGCGGGCCAATGGATCGATGTTGCATCGCACTGGCAGTCCAGCATTCCTGTTTTGGCGAAAGTTGGAAGCGCGATACCTGTTGGACGGGCGGAACAAGTCCTCTCTGTAGGCGAAACAAACAACCCGGCAAACCTGCCCCTGGACGACTACCGGGGGGTAGAGATCTTCCCTCCAAAGGCTTCTTCCAACGGTAAAGTCTACACGTCTACTTGGTACGAAGACGACGGTGTTTCGCCGCCGCCAGCCAGGATCTCCGTCTTTACAGTATCCTTCGAGTCAACGGCCACGCAGGTACTGGTGCGATATGAGGAGAAATTGCAAGATGGCTTCGTCCCGCATTGGAAGGACCTGGAGGTTGTCCTGCCGAGGGGCGATGAGAGAAGTGTTGTCTTCAATGGCGCAGATGCGGAGAAGACGGGAACTGACAAGTTGGGGAGAGGGAGATGGAAGGGTAGTGTTGGAGGGAGGAAATAAGCGTTGATTGCAGCTAGCACAAATTGAGCTGCGGATATTTCATATGTACCCGCTTGTGCCGCTCTGTGATTAGACCCTGATGGTTTTGCCCCGCTAGACACGACACCGCATTTTGGCGGCCGATCACGGCGAATGCAAGGACCGGTGTATAGATGTAGGTTATAGATGCCATCCACAAATCAGATCATAAGACGTTTATTTGAAGCGTTTGCCATCCAACTAGCAAGCCTTCCTAGCTCAGTGGTAGAGCGCGTCACTAGTAATGACGAGGTCGTCAGTGAGTAACACCCCCATTCGAAGCACCCCCCTTCGAAGCACGTTGGAGACGCCGACGCTGACGTGCCGTGAAGGTTCAATTCTGGCGGAAGGCAACTACGGCAGCAGGCAGACGCCATTCCTTTTTGCTTGTGTCGTCCTTGGGTTCTGTTGGCAAGAATGTTCTTTTTTGCGGCATTGTGGTGGTGGAGGGGCAAAGTGGGGCTTATGCGTCTTCATCCTTCTATTGCTTATGCGACAACATGAAAAGCAGGATATTGAACAATCACAGACGACGGGAACAGTCTTCTCCAACCCCTAGCTGCAACGGCGTCTCTCACAGCAGGCATGCGACAATGTCCCCAACGTCCAGTCGTGGCACGACCCGTTGTCTCCTTTACCGCCACCATGGACGTTTCTAACTCCCTCTACGATGCCTTCACCAAAACATTCCCATCTCTAACCCCAAGACGGTGAACTCTAACAAACTCACGCTCTGCTTCGTCTCCCCTACGCTTACCAACAACAACAGCACCAGAACCCGTCGTCGGCTTCTCGGCACCAGGTTCCTTCGGCTTCTCATCACCAGGTTCCTTCGACTCTTCAAGCCACGGATACCACGCCCTGACAAAATTAACATCACCCACCGACGGCGCCGTATTAATCTGAATCGCCCATGTGGACCCAAAGCGCGCAGCAACAAGCGGACAAACACTGATATCGTTCTTTTCCCAGCAATTCGAGTCCGCGGCATACGCATTCGACGGATAAATCATGATGGAGCCGAGGTCAAAGGGGCCCTCGTCCATGATGGGAGCGTAGATGCTGTTGAAAGCGGCGTTCTTGATGTACTGTGCACCAGCTTCGAAGTTGAATTCGTTCGCAAAGCCTTGCTCGGTGCAGAGGCGCTCTGCGGCGTCTTGGTGGCCGGCGACGCTGGCGGCGATGAGGGCGTCTTTGTAGCCTACTAGTTTGTCGCACCGGAAAAGGACGTTTTCGTCGCGGTCAAACCGGCAGTGCTCGTGAGCCATGCCGAGGACGTGGCCGATCTGGCTCTGGTGTCAGAGGACTTGAAGACGAGATGTGTTCGGCCGGCAACATGGAGACTTACTTCGTGGGCTACCCGATGAGGCTCGGTGCTTTTCGAGCCCATGACCATGTAATGACGGCCGGCGGTGGTTTTGCGATGGTCGTACCCAATACTAGCGTATGGCGCTTCTTCTTCTGCCCCAAGGTGTATTGCAAGAGCGTCCGCGCTTACTTTTGGGTTCCACGTTCCAGGCTCTTTCTTGTCCTTGTAGTCATCGAGGTAGCAGGTCGGATACATTCTCTCATTCTTATCTTCGTTGCCGTCATGAACCTCCATCCACCCGAGGCAATGGCCATTCGCAGCACTGGCTGGTGTCTTGATGGCGTCGGCCCATATCTTGAACCCCTTCTGGAGTGGACAGTCAAGTTCCGCTTTGGCCTTGGCGGTCGCAAAGCAATATCGAAGGAGACGAATCCGGCCCTTCTTAGGGATGCTGATGGGAGGCCAAGGTTGCGCGATACCAAATTTGAAGTGATTCATGTTACCCTCCTGGGGGCCGATAGAGCCAGGATCGAGGGTGTCAGTTTCGGATCCGGTTCGACAGTACCGATTCGTGGAGGCTAGTACTAATGTAAGAACCCCTAAGAACAGGAGAAATAACAAGGCCATACGCATTGCAACGATTCCTGGTAGACAGGCAGATGAGATCGGTTCTATATGTAGCGGTAATGGTCGTAATTGCCAGGTTGATCCTTATGTACATTTCACTCGACTATGGATATGATTCAGCGTAGACGCTAGGTCACGACTCCACAAGAAGTGAATGTGCAGCTGCGTAGAAAATTATTCCAGGCAACGATGTCAGATAGGAGGTTGATGCGATCGCGTGCGCACACATCAGGGACCGTGCAAACGGCTGCACTACCACATCGACCTCAAATTGTAGAGTGCGTGATTTGTTGTAGAACAAGTAGTCGGGCATCTCAAGCTATGTTGATAAAGGAAACACCGGGTGCAATGATGAAGGCTGTGAACCAATCCTGTGAACATTTTGAATGAATGATTCCATGTATGCTCTACGCTTGCCATGTGATACCGCGTCATCTACGAAGACATGCCATGTAACGCCAGTCTAAATGCAGTATATGCTTGTGAAAATGAACTGAAAGTGAAGGGAAAGACCGCTGAATGATAATGAGGGTATGACGCTATGCAAGAAACAAAGAAGGAACATGTAATGCCGCTAAGACTAGATCTCACGTCCTTTCTTTTCCTGATGCTCCAATTCTTTGACGTACTTGACGAAAGTCTTCTTATGAACCTACTTGCAGTTAGTATTGCTCAGTCTCAACTGCTAACGTGATACGTACCAGACCAGCGTACTTGCCATCCCTGAGCACGCATATATATCGTAGTCCGAGCTTTACAAAGCATTCGTATACCAAGTCCATCGGTGAGTGAACATCCAATGCAACAGGTGCTGGGTCAATATATGGAGTGAAATCACTTGGATCATAGGCTTCTTGCTCTTCTTCGTCTTGGGGCTCACGCCCTGCAGCCCAATCAACTCGCGGTGACATGAGGCAAAGCGTGTTCTCTTCGTTCTCCAGCTTATCGAGCGCAAACTCTAGATCTGGTGCAGGAATGAGGCCAACAAGAACGCCGTTTTTTATGATGGACAGGCCGCCGTCCAGTTCACCTATCATTTGTAGTCCACGTTGCTTTGCACGCAGCTCGACTGCAGGAATGAGCGCGTCTTCTGAAATGTCGATGATATGATCCTGTCTCTTCCCAGTAGTGATGTCGCCAAGCTCGGATGTGAAGATGGGTCGAACTTTGTTATCGAGGAATGGGTACGAGTTCATGTCTGTGAGCAAGTCGTAGATACTGAGCGGTTCAATAGCATCCGCCACCCATTTCGCGACCAGGATGCCGAGAGAAAAAGGGAGTACGTGATCCAGACTACCCGTGAGCTCGAATAAGATGACTGCCAGTGTGATACTGAGACGAGTGACGCCGGTCATCGTTGCTCCAGCAGCCACTAGCGCGTACACTCCGGGAACGACGCATGAACCTGGCGGACCGTCAGGTGAGCACTCTCCGAAGACGCCCAGATGATTGAAGCGTAGAGCAGCGAGTTGGACAGTGTGGCCGATGAAGCGCCCGGCGAGACCGCCTACGACCATGGAAGGTACATAGATACCGGCTGGGACCTTGATACCAAAGGTGACGACAGTCAGAAGAGCTTTGATGACAAATGCGAAGAACAAGGTTTTGAGTACGCTCGGAATATGCTCCAGAGTCGGACAGAGACCGTCGCCGGTGTCAGTGTACGTGTCGCACGGACTTGCCAGTTCGAACAAGAGTTCGGTGACGGGCAGTTTGGTGTATCGGTTCCAGAAACTGATCAAACCAGTCACGAGCGCAACCAGGAAGACCTCAAGGAGCGGATGCTTCTTGATAACGGGTATGCGACGGAATGTTCGTGCCCAGATGCGAGATGCTTTGATGAACAATGCGCCGAGAACACCGCCCACAGCGCCGGTGAAGACAAAGGTCGCAAGTTCAAAAAACTTCCAGTCTAGATGATAACGAACCTCGAAAAGCACGATCTTCTTGGTGCCGTATGGATCCAGGAATTTAAGAGATAATGCAGCCGCCTACAAGCGATTAGCGAGGTCGAGAAAAGGGACTAGTGACTTACGATGCAGCAAAAGAAGGTTCTGAAGAGCGTCTTGGACGGAAAGTAGTAGCTCACTTCCTCCAGACTGAAGAGCACTCCGCCAATCGGAGCGCCGAAAGCTACGGCAACACCACTAGCAGCACTAGCGCTGAGAATCTCCCTGCGTTTGCCGTCGTTGTTGCTATACTTTGAGAATATACGACACGCAATGTTTCCTATGCAAGTCGCAATGTGCACGTATGGGCCCTCCTTACCGAGACTGAGGCCCGATGCAACACTGAGGATCAGAGCTAGCGTCTTGACGAGCAGTGTGCGTACACCCAGATAACCGTGGAGAACGAAACCACTGAGGATGACCTTGACTTCGGCTACACCACTGCCAGCAGCGGAGTAGTAGACCATGGGTGGCCGTGCCTGGACTTCCTGGAACCTTGACTCTGGGCTGATGCTTCGCTTGCGGTCTTCTTCCTCTGCCTGATCAGAGTATCTCCGGACTTCTGCGCCGAGGTTTTCGTCGAGTGTGGACAGAGAGATGGCTGAAGGGATGACTGTTTTTGTGGTGAGCGTGAGCAGACACGAGGCCATGGAGAGCAAGATGACGGAGAGGACGAAAAAGCCATATTGGGTCTGGACGACGTCCAGCCTGTCATTGCGGACCGCCTCGGACCACTTGAGCCAGTTGTCGCATATAGAGGCACCTTGGCAGCACGCCTTGCGGCTCTTGTTCCAGCCGGTAGTGCAGTAGCCCTGCTTCAGATCGAACAGCGTGGTCTCGGTGGTGTTGACGAAGTAGGCGCACACGGCAGTGAGTACGCCGATGAGAGCTACCAGAATCCAGCCCTGCGCACCGTCGAACCAAGCGGCGAGGCGGCCCCTGATGTCCTTCCGGCTCCGCAGGGCCTTGACGCGGTAGGCGTCGGCGATGTTGTCGTGGACCCAGTCGGTCGACGTGAACTGATCGTACCACACGCGGTTGTCCTGGAAGAAAGACGCCTTTGCGGAGTGCATGCTCTGCTCGAGGCCCGCCCCCCGCTCGCCCAGGGCATTGACGAGGCGCTGGCTGAAGGTGTGGCCGCCGGTGAGGGAGCCCCGGCGGCTCCGCATGCGCGAGCTGGTGGGCAGCTGGCTGTTGTTGCGCGTCATGCCCGGGCGAGGGGTGCCCGGGGAGGTGGCGGGCAGGCTCTTGTAGGACCTGGCCCCCCGCAGATGGGGCACTCCTAGCAGGGCGGTCCGCTCGTTGACGCTGCCCGTCGACCTCGTGAGGTCCGTGTCCGAGGCACGCATCGGGCGCTGGGCGCTGAAGGTGAGCGTGGGCGACGTGGGCGTGGTGCTGCTGAAGGTGTCGTCGCGCTCGCGCTGTTCGGCGGCGTAGTCATCGTCGGCGTCGTAGTCGTCGACGCTGTGGTACGACTGCATCGACTTGGGCATGGCGAGGGCGGTGGGTAGGGAGGCAGCAGCTACAATCGGGGCAGGGGCGGTCTATTAGTGTCGAGGGCAGCCAGAGACATGTCGCCGAGCAGAGGCCGCTATCATGGTCATCCGGAAAACGATGGCGGTGTCACGATGGATATGTTATGGCTGGGCACCATGGCTGCTCCCCACTATGCCGCGGATCCCTCCAGGATGCGTTGTTGTCCTGTGTCCGGGGCGAGATAGGCTCCGCCGCGGGTCCGCCAGCTGTTTCAGACCGGCTTGCGTGTGCAGGGCGGCCGGGCGAACAAAGCAGCAAAAGCAGCAGCTCGAGCAACTCCTGCAGGCAGCGGTGCGCAGCCCTCGGAGGCTGACCTCAGGTGTCTTACCACCGCAAAGGGCGGTAGGCGCGTCCCATGTGATTATTGGGGTGCACCCGTGGACGCGATGGTGACGGAACGCAGGGCAAACGGAAGGTGCTAACCCTACACGGAGAAGGCGCGATGCCGTAGCCGCCAATCGCAGCCCCCAGCCCCACCACTACACACTGACGTGCGTCTCGCGGTCGGGAGAATTGGGGGGTAGAGGCTGCCAATCTGTCGTTTCTTATCCGCCCGTGCATCCATCTGCTGCTGAGCCGCTGATCTGAAGATACAGACGACGCAACTCGGGAAAGCCGGTTTCGGAACACCGGGATTTCGCCGAGCGAGATATCCAAGGTACTAGCAGACATTCCGGAAGGTCTGACGACGATCGTGCCTACATCTCTCTAAAAGCATTCAAGATGGTGAGTCCTGCTGGACATTGAGTGCCATTGGGACTGCGTGCTGATGACTGTAGCCTGCTCTCTATGAACAGTTCTTCCTCTTCGGAGACAGCATAACCCAAGACTCCTTCTCCCAGGAGCGAGGCTTTGCCTTCTCTGCAGCCCTTCAAGCTGGTCAGTCCAAATATCATCATGTCTCCCGATTACTACCCCATGCAAAACATCTCTTCGTGAAGCTTCCATGGCGGCCATTGGCTCGGGCGACTGTGAATGGCACTAATGATTCCAACAGCATACATCAGGCGACTGGATGTAGTCAACCGCGGCTTCAGGTGATGACGTCCTACCCTTACGACCGCACCGACAACTAACACCATGACAGTGGGTACAACACCCGCCAAGCTCTCCAGATACTGCCCGCCGTCGTGCCCCCGCCGGATCAGGCTAAGATTCGGTTCATGGTAAGACTTGTCCATGCTAGATGCAGCCCTGGCTGACCATACAGACCATCTTCTTCGGCGCCAACGACTCATCGTTACCAGATGCGCCAAACAAGCAGCATATTCCTCTTGATGAGTTCATCAAGAACCTAAAGGACATCATGTCCCATCCGCAGATCAAAGCTCACGACCCTCGTATTATCCTGGTGGCTCCTCCCCCAATCAACGAGCATCTGTGGTGGCCAAGAGACCAGTCGAACGGATATGCTAGCGTGACGCGCCTGGCGGGTGCGACCAAAACATATGCCGATGCAGTCGTTCAACTTGGCGCCGAGCTTGGCCTGCCTGTCGTAAATCTCTGGAAAGCCTTCATGGCGAGGACGGACTTCAAAGCAGATATTTGGAAGCTGGGCGATGATCTACCGGGCTCTTTAGACGTCTCGCAGAATGACGCCCTCGTGGAGCTTATGTACGATGGTAAGGGTTTCGCAAAACCTTCCTGTTTCCTCGCCATGCTAACTGCACGTTTCAGGGCTTCACTTGAACCCAGCAGGATACGAGATCTTCTATCAGGAGTTGATCAAGGTCATCGCAGAGCAGTGGCCGGATCAAGTAAGTTCTGACTGTATGAAATGCATGAGGTAGATACTGACTTCGTGCCTCCACTTTTGCAGTCGCCTGAGAAGCTGCCTATGGTACTGCCGCCGTGGAACGATCAGGAAGCGTGGAAACAGTGGGAGAGTGCTCAGTCTTCTTCGATCTAGCGCAAAAGTGGTAGACATGGTGGATGTGGGCAAGCTTGATTTCAGCTCCGCGATCAAGCGGGGCTCTGGGGAAGTCGTGTCCAATCGGGCGAGGGTGCATAACTCCGGCGGCTTGTGGTTAGCAGCGTCACTCGACGAACCTCAGCTCAGCATCGCGTCAACAGGACGCAAGAATACACCAGCAGTCAGATTTTCCTGTTCCTATTTCCTTTCCTGTTCAAACTTTTCTGGGACACTGTACATTATCTCGCTCCCTCTAGCGCCGTCTCGGGAACCGCCTGATCTTCGGCAAAGACCGCTGTTGCGACCATCGTACCTTCTGCTCCAGTAGTCCAACTAATCACACCGCCCAACACCCAACGCCTGCTGTCTGAGATAGTAGCACGGCCGATATCTCTCCACAGATCTTGCCTTTACCTCCAAATTGCCCACCGAACACCTCGATAGTCGGCTTCAAACGCATTCCTCACAACCGACGACCCAGACCCGCGCACACCGCAAACGCCTACTCTACTAAACAAGAGAGACTGCCACAAAAGAACTGGGCTACTGGGCAGCGGTCGCTCGGTGGTGAAGGTAGGGGAGTCCCCACGGGAAGGCTGGTGTCTCTTTGTTGAGCACGTCACCAAGGGATGAGAGAGTCACGGGCATGGATCCTCAGAGCGTAGCCTTCCAGCCGCGCGACGATTTCTGGCGTTTTCAAAGCGAAATGCTACGTGTGCAGGAGCACCAGGCCGAACTCGCCGATCGTGTCGCCCGCCTGGAGCGCAAGCAGGAAGACGACTCGCGTCTGAAGAACGTCTGGGGGACTTCATCGCCCTTTCCTTCGGTGCTGGGGGGAACACCCCAACAGGGTAAGACGCTTCATCTGAATTTGTGCATCTTTAGCTGAAAACTGTTAGTTCCCCTGCAGCAGCCAACCGCCGAACACTTCACGAACTTCGACGACCAGTCCAGCAATCTCATCGGCAATCTCCAACTTGACGCCGACGAGGAACCCCGCCGTGTAGGGGCCACATCTCGCGCGAACAGCGTCCGCTTCGATGAAACTGCCAATCACGGTCACTGGGCGCATGCATCGAGATCGTCGCTGGATTTGATACCCCGCACTGGTAGCAGCATGGGCGGGCATGTCATGAGCGAGCGCAGCTACTCCCACAAGTCAGACGGAAGGCAAAGTTCTGCCGGCCAGTCGGTGCATTCTATGGCTTCGGGTCGCGCCAACAGCCTCACTAGCTTTGGTCCGACAACGCCTCAAGACGTCCCAGGGCTGGCTCCTGGCTTGTTCATTCTCGGCTCCGTTCCTGCTATAATACGTTGCTGGCTCAACACCAACTTCAAACACGATACCTTGCTGTATGCAGCAGTCTGTTCAGGTTCATACACATCCTATCTGGACTGGTACACAATTGAACACCTGGGCTTTCAGGATCGGGTCATTTTGGACGAGGACCGGGTTCGCAAGATCAAGCTGTCTGTATACCTTCCAGAGGCTGTGCCTGTTTCAGCATCTTCACGATCCGACAGCCCGGCGCCGCAGCTTCCTTCGATAGGCGTAGATTTCACCGTCATCGAGGAGCACGACGCTGAGGTGAATCCAAAAGCCATTCAGATTTTCCTTGGTAGCGACATGCTTCGAGCACATAATGCCGACCTCCTTCTTTCATGCAACCAACTGACTCTGTATGATGATGACCGTAACAAGCTTCAGGTACCACTCGTCCGTCCTGAAGATGATCGCGCGTTCAAGTGCTTGCACGCTAGCGGTGCCTCTACGACGGATCCGAACCGCGCTACTTCGACTCTGGCTTCAGCGCATGCGCATCACACAACTCAGATGTCTAGCACTTCACCGACCCGTGAGACGTATTCGTCCATGGAGAAATCGAATGGCACAGGCCCAGTGACCAACTCTGAGGACGGCGGGTCAAGTGGCCGGAGGAGTCTCGAACAGCGTCCACAACCAGGCCTCTCAGCGTCAAGTCGCTCTGACAAGGATGCTCAGGAGCCGGGCTCTGTAAGTGGAGCTCCACAATCAGGAGCACCGCAAGCCATCTGGAGCAACTGGCGCCGTGACCAAGCGGAGAAGACAAACACGGGCTCTCTGGATTGGGCCAACGTGGGTAAAACCGCCAGCTCAGATCCCAGCTACCAGCGACGTGATACAGGCATCAAAGTATTGAAACCTTCTAAATCCACGCGTACTCTGTCGACGTCAAACTCATCGCCTGTGACCGGGCAGTCACGCTTCTTCGATGATGGAAAGCGCAGAGGCGAGAGCGAAGCAAGCAACGCTGCGGCGGCTCCTCCGGTGAAGAGGAGTGTGTCTGGGGACAAAGCAAGGGAAAATATGCCTGGCCTGTCGAAGCCTCGATCTGCGAACCCAGTAGGCGGTGCCTCTGCTTTCGCGTGGCTGAACAGTGGCGGGTCAAAATGAAACGCGATGCTGCGCTTGTATCATACGTAACACCAAACGCCGGACAGAATACAGACTGTTGACATGGCGTCATGAATTGTACACATGCATGTGCTGTGGTTTCCCATGGTGTTGTCTAGGCGATTGTGACATGCACCAAACACAAACAGATGGTGTTCTGGCAGCTTCGGACACGCGACAGGGGGGAGCATTCACCGCGTCGCCAAGCTCGCTTACCAAGGTAGTGTCCGCAAGGCTGAGCGGTCGGACAGCGATAGTGACGACGGCCCATGTCACGGCGCTGCTCTGATTTTTGCGGACATTGCGCTGTTACCCCTCGTTTGCTCACCGCCGTGCTACTGTGTTTGTGAAGAAGAGGCGCCATTGCCCAGGTACTGCGGCCCGCTGCATAGTCCTTGTCCGCCTTTTGCTTGTCCTTTCACCCTCGCTCGTCCGCCCTTCACCGTCTGCCCTGAAGCTCTTCGCGGGCTTCACGGTAGGCAATCAGCTTCAAAACGGCCTCCACTAATAACAAGAAGCGGAAGATCGTGGTCCCCGCACGAGACTCGTCCAACGGCGACGGCACGCATTCACCGAATGTGGGCAGCGTCGGTGTAGGGTCCCCTCGCTCC